GAAACACCCCTGGTCTGTTGAGCCCATGACCAGAGGTTAGAACAAGGTCTTAGTAAGTAGGAGATGCAGGTTCGACCCCGCTCTGATCTCTGCAGGGGAGACTTTTGGGTCTCACTGCTCCATTGGCAGTGGCCTGGCCACAAATGCATTAGGCTAAACGGTGGGAGGCTCCTCGTCTGTCAAATACTTGCTCATTCTGTGACAAATGGTTCAAGGACTTAGACAGTGTAGTAGGAACCCAATAGATCATAAACGGTGGATCCCTGTTGAACACGCTGCAATGAACACAGTGCAAGAGATATTTATCTTCATGCAACTCCTCTTTTGCATATCCCCATCCCCATGACACTGCCTTGTTGGTGGAGCAGTCAGAAATGTTCCAGTTTAATGCTCTGTGTAAGCTCAGGATCTACCAGTCCAGAACCAGCAGGGTGATCTCACACTCTCAGCTCGTTCGACTTATTTTCTGGATTCAGGGTAAGAGCAAAAGGGAACGTTTAGGCAAAAACAATAACTGACTACCAAGATCTAGTTGTGGCCCATATCCTAAAGCTTCACAGGAGCATTCATCAAGGGAAAAAAATATTCTTCACTTCGCCCTGCTGGCAACCAGGAAAAACCCTGAGCACTGGATGATCAGAAATCTTCCATGCTGTGAAGAGTAAGCCCTGCACCCCGAGTGGGACTCCCTGTTTGAGTACAACCTCCATTCCAGGGACATCTTCAGTTCACTCGGAAAGTGATTCCTTGACCCAACGTTTGGCTTGGGAGACCATCCAAGGGACTCGCTCCTCCTGTGATTTGAAGTCTCCTTCTCATCTCCAAACTACATTTATCCCTGGCCAGCTCTTAATCATGTGACCTTGTGCCGATGTGATGTAATGGCTTAAAAAACCTTTTCTCCTTTCCTAATCCTCACCCCATGACTGTACTTGGCAAGGGGATCATATCCCTTCCCCTCCTGCTTTGTTAAATTAAACAAGCCAAAATCTTCTTTCACAAGACAAGCTCTCCATTTCCTTAATCATCGCAGTGAGTTTTCTTTGAACCAGTCTGGATTTAATTTCTACTTAATAGGCCTCCTGGTCTCTACTAAATATACCCTGCTTCAGGCACCCAATGATTACTATCCTTTTCCAAGGGTTTGTGGTCATCCTAGAGTCATCCAGTACATCCAAGCCTCTCTCATCCTCAGCTGTCTCAGGTACTTCTGCCCCATATCTTAACTTCAGTCTTTCTTACTGGTACCCAGGTGTATGACTTTGCCCTTCATACTGTTAAATTTCATGTTGTTGCTAATGCTCCTTTTGATAAAATGATCTCATTCTTCCTGCAGAATAATCCAGCCCTGCCCAGAAGGACAGCACCTCACAGCTTACGTCTCCTGCATAAACGTCATGAGGACATACCCATTTCCAGTACCAAGAACTGCTCAAATGCTAACCTAGTGGTGTCAACCTCTGACGGGCCAGATGAGGCCAGTAAACCATGTCATTGGGTCCACAGTCACTGGGGAGAAAGCATTGGGTACCTCCACATCCTTCCTCTTCCAGGACTTGTGCTCAGATAACCACATCTGTGTGTGGCCAGAGCATGGCCGTCTGTGTGCTTAGTTGATGTGCACAGGTTTACTAGTCCACAGTGTAAAGACGGGGACAACACAGCCAGATACATGGCTAGAAAAGGGAAAGGGATACTCACCGGGAAATTGTGTTCTGCCTTTTCTAACTTTCATCAGCTTAGATGAGAGAGGCAGATCTCACTCAAGAAAAAGAATAACTTGAATGACAAAGTAGTAGAACAACGTGTATCAGAAACTTCTTTGGTATTTTAAAGCTTGCTTTAATTTTTTTAGTATCCTCTTCATCTGGACCTACTTCCACAAGCTATGCTCACTGTGTTTTACATTGGAAGTTTTCTACGTAACTTATGAAAAAATATAACCGTGCGCTGTTATTAACAGCAGAGGGCACCGCGTGGTTATTGATGCCTTTAGACAGCTAGAAAGGTAGTGTGTTGTGTTAGTCTGAAACCAGGCAGAAAGCCGGGAGAGGGGAAAAAAAATGTTAAGCCTGCCAAAAACAGAGATGCATACACTCTTGTAAGCATGAGCTCAGTCTTGCAGTGGCTGTGAAAGGCCATGCACAGAGCTCTCTATCATACAGAAACAGTGATTTGAACACAAAAGACAGGTATTGGGGTTTGAGGGGAATGGGACAGTTCAGGCAGAAGCAAACAAGTAATAAACCCATAGGCCAAGCAGTTACAAAAGCTAATCCAGGCAATGGAATAATAATCCGTAGTCCCTGTGTAGGCCGTACGTAACACAATCCCATCTATGGATGATTTCTTGTTCCACAATTTTGCATTCATGTTTCATTTATCGAGTTCGGTTGTTTACGAGTAGATAATCGGAGGTCAGCAATGAAATGCCCAGGCAGGTAGCAAGGAGAGACTAAGAGGTAGCTTGACTTGAGAGCATAAGCGCCTTCCAAGGACAATACACTGAATACTTGCAGAGAAAACGCACCACAAGACCTAATGGCTAGAAGCTGAGGCCAGACAAAATCGAATTGGAACCAAGACATAAACTTTGAAGGAGGAGGATTAAAGAAGAGGACGAACCATCAAGGGAAGTTATGGAGTCTCCCTCTTTTGAGGTCTTCAGAGCAAGTCCAATTATCATTCGAGTGCTCCATGTCAATGCTAATTCTCCTTTCAGGTAACTAAGTATTTGGCTTGGTGCAGACCTAGCAGAGATGATCTGCAACCTGAGACATGAGGAGGGGTGGTTGTATTGATGCACTGCTTTGCAAAGGGACCACCTGGTGTTCCCACTTGGTCCTCGACAACTAAAAAGACCTCATCTGGCTTTAGGAAGGAAAGCTCTCCATGCCAGTGCTTTTCACCCCTTCCTCCCTCCACATCCACACAGCACCCTGGGCCCTGGGTTTTCCTCACTGGCAGTATTACTAATGTGTAAACTGTGTCCTCCAGTGAAACTGGAAGCTCCAATCATTCAATCTGTAACATGAAGGTGTCTGCACTGGGGTACCGCATTAATGAATGTGATGTTCAATGCCCATCTCAAAGCACAGGAGTATTAAACTGCTGGAGCAAGCAAAACTTCTGACCTGTTCTTGTTGACGGGTACAGCTGGCACCTCTAATAATTTCCTGTTCATGACCTGCATCTGTTTCCTCCTGATAACACAGGCATGAAGAAGACAGAAACCTCCAGGACAATTTGGCCTAGCCTGGTATTTGCATATCTTTCCATACGTGACTGTTACAAAGGGCTTCTGAGTAGTTATAAACTTCTGCTGCACTTTTATCATAGCTGGAAGTGCAAGATGTCAAGAAGCACCATGACGTTATGGGTGTATTTCATCTGGCTCCTCTTCTCCATGGTGGAAGGTAGGTTGTGCAGGCATATTATGACCTGAACTTGAAAGCAAGTCTCTAAAAAAATCAGATTCAGTCTGAGGTTTTCCTCTGTCCCCTTTCCTAGAATCCAGTGGGGACATCGTTATAACACAGACTCCGGCTTCTGTGACGGCACTTCCAGGAGAGACGGTCACCATCCAGTGCAAGGCCTCCAGCTCCATGAGTGATGATATGGCCTTATTGCTGTTCAAATCTGGACAAACTCCCAAGCTCCTCATTCATGATGGAAACAACCGTGTCACTGGGGTCCCCGACCGGTTCAGTGGCAGCTACAGCGGCACCGACTTCACATTCACCATCCGCGGGGTGCAGGTGGAAGATGCTGGTGACTACTACTGTGGGCAGGACAACAGCTTCCCTCTCACAGTGATACACTGCAGTACAAAAACCTCCTTGATGCCAAAGCATCCGGTGTGTGAAGCAGAAGGAAGCAGGGGAGGCTGCTTCTGACACAGCTGATCTGGAACATAATGAATGTTTTAGTGAAACCCATTTCTCACACCCTCATCACTCAATTCACTGATTTCAAACATTGTTTTGACAAAATTCCTTTCCGGTGGGAGAATTGCCAGGGACAGACACTGTCTCAGGGCAGTGCCCGAAATACACATGTACATAGTGATTGCCACAGACCCACAATGTTCAGCGCTCTGCCTCCCTGGGGTTTGCTTTACCACCCAGGCTATTCTCTAACAGGGGGCATGTCTACATGTGCTGTTTAATGTGCATCAGCTTATTTTAGCACTAAGGCATCACTTTGAAAAGGTGCACTTTTGCTAAGGCACATTATTATAAGCTAATGAGCATTAAGCATCACTGAAAAACACTGTTCTTTAACTAATGCACATTAAGACCGGCCAATGAGCATTTTCTTAGTACCTCACAATGGAGGTACTAGATTCAATGCTCATTAACTAAAGCATGTTAATGCACATATAGATGCACCCCCCTGACTGCTGTGCTTCATGCTGAGCTCAACCTTTCTTGGATGCTGTACCAGTGCTGCAGGTAGGTCTTGTGGATAGCCACTTCTAAGGACTTAGGAAGGACTAGGTTGCCACTCAGCCTCCTTTTTACCCTGTTAAAAGAGCTAAGCTTTAGCTTCTGAATAGATGCAGACATGCCATGGTTCTCTGCATGTATTATTTTTCTAGCAAATAAGACCATGGCACCCCTGCATCCATTCAGAAGCCAAAGCTTAGCTACCTAATGGATGCTCATGACTTAAAAGCAGGTGCTGATTGCCTCAATGCAGCTCATTGCTCTGCAACTTCTACCTCAGCCTCCTCTGAAGTGACTTCTGGGGAAGGAGACCTGGCTCTTGGGGAAACTTGAGGGGTGTGATGCAGACACTCAGCTGATTCCCCCTCCTTCCCCAGAATATCCCTTGCTCGGGCACTCAGCTCCAGCTCCAGCTCTTTCTCTGGCACTGGAAGGCTCCGCATGGGAAGTGAAGTGGGGGTGAAGGAGACTGTCATGCTGGTTCTGCTGCTGCTGGTTGTTGTTGTCATGGTGGTGGGGGGCGCGTTTTGGCTGGTGCTCTTGGAGGGGATGCAGTCTCAGGCACCGGCCATGGCACTGACACTGCTCCCCTCTCCTTGCTGCCCCTGGAAGCCTCACCCCTGCTAGGTGTAGGAAAGAGGCTGCGTCTCAGTTTTTGGGGGTTTTTTGGGTGGGGGGTGGGACTTACACCTCTCCCTCTACCCACTCTTCCACCCCTCCCTGAAGCCTGGCCAGCTGCCTTCCCACCGTGTCTTGTTTTTATAAAGATATATAATGTATCTCCCTTCCTATATAAATTCTATAAAGTATGTATATGCCACAAGGTATAAATGTATAGAAATAAAATATAAATATATCTCCCTTCCTATATAAATTCTATAAAGTATGTATATGCCACAAGGTATAAATGTATAGAAATAAAATATAAATGTATCTTCCTTCCTATATAAATTCTATAAAGTATGTATATGCCACAAGGTATAAATGTATAGAAATAAAATATAAATGTATCTCCCTTGCTATAGAAATTCTATAGTGTAATAGCCGATATAATTATAACATTGAAAAGAATAAATCAATGAATATAATATTAAAATAAAAGGGTCTAGAAGAACGCAAAAGGTATTGTGGAATCCCACTTGCTAGGCTAGCAAGTAGGAAATCATTCAAATAAATAATAGTAGTAGCCTTGGTTGTCTAATGCTCCTGAGCTGCTGGAAGATAGCTCAGTACCTGTCAGACCCCAAGGAACAAAGCAGGGTAGTCCAAACAATGCTGCCTTTTATACTGTTTTTCCGTCCCTCCCCCAGAGCCCTGGGATTGGAAGGGACCTCAGGGAAGGATGACAGTCACTGGCCAGCTACACAGTCAATATGAGAGCAGTCCTTCCCCACTCCCTCTCCTTGCTTTCTGTTTCCCTGCAGACAAGCCCAGCTTCTGCCCTGCTTTCATTTCGAGGCTGTTTTGAACCCCTTTTTTTCATTTTGATTTTGCTATTTCAAGCTCGAAATGAGTTGAAACTGTGTCAAAACGAAACAGCCAGCGAAATTTCGCACCACCCTACCCAGTATCTCTTGAGCATATATTGACAACATTTCAAAGAAACAGGACATTGGCTGCTGTGATTCCCCTGCTTTACCTGTGGCAGCTCTATGTTGTGTCAGGGTTGCCTTATGTAGAGTTTAGACTATGGCTTGTCTAGGATGGTTCAGCTAGGGACGATCTGGCCCCAGGAGCGGGGTTGGACTAGATGACTCCAGAGGTCCCTTCCAGCCCTGCTTCTCTATGATACTTTGAGTCAAAGGAATGCTTAAATCATGAAGGGAATACAGCTGAGAAGATGGAGTGGTTGGGAAAATGATGAGAGATGTAGCAAAGTGAGGCTGAGGGTCCGTGAGCAGGCTGGGATGGTGATGTTGAGACAGACCAGATTCAAACAGAGAATCTGCAGCTTCAGTCACAGACAAGGAGCAGGCAAATTGAGGTGGGGTGGAGAAGAGCAGGACGAAACAAATTTGATTTTCATTGACCCAATGTAGATCACCAGTGACTCCGCTCCAGGAAATGGAGAGCATGGATATCAAACTGCTGCTAAGAGAGAGATGAATGAGGCTTAATGAATATAAGATCTACAGACTTCTCTGATCTGTGTGTGCCCCTCTCCCAGCTAGGAAGTGGTATTTGCATTCACAACTCAAACTCTCTGTCCCCCTCAGCTGCACTGGGCCAAAGTGAATGCTTGTTTGCACAGAGCCACCCAGTGACTGCGTCCTGCTCTGGGGAGCAGCTATAAAGGGGCCGGTTTAACACTTGGTGTCCTTCAGCTCCGTGTCAGTCGGTGCAGAAGCAGCAAGATGCTGTGGCAGACTCAGCTCCTCTGGCTCCTCGTGCTCTGGGCAAAGGGTAAGAAGACCAGCAGGGGAGAGACTGGTGCATAATAGCAATAGGTAGAACAAATGTGGTGATGCTTTTGGCATTATGTAGAAGGATGTCTGTCCCCGTCCCCCCCACCCCGTACAGAATAGTTCTTAATAATTTCTTCCAGAATTTCAGGAGCCCAAATACATGGAAAGATTTTTTTTTTTTTTTTTTAAAGGCAGTTGGGGGGGAGAGGGTTGCTTCTCTTCGCTAATCATCACTGTATTTGACTTATAACATGTTCTTCATCTGCATTATTTTCCCCCATGCAGGATCCAGTGGGGGCATTTTAGTGACTCAGAGTCCAGAATCCCTAACAGTGTCTCCAGGAGACACAGTCACCATCAAGTGCAAAACCAGTTCTGGCATTGGCAGGGACATGAACTTCTACCAGCAGAAACCAGGACAACCTCCAATGCTTCTTCTCCATGACACAAACAAAGGCCCTTCTGGGATCCTAGCTCAGTTCAGTGGCAGTGGGTCTGGCACTGACTTCACTTTTACCGTCAGCCGGGTGCAAGTTGGAGATTCTGGAGATTATTACTGTCAGCAGCATCAGAGCGCCCCTCCCACAGTGCTACAGCCCCGTGCAAAAACCTCCCTGCTCTGCTCCGTTCTGCCGCTCCCGGCACCAGCTGCTTCCTGCCCAGCCACAGGCCAGGGACTCTGCTGACCTGGTGCAGCAGGGCCAGGTGATGATCACATTTATACACTGCACTCACACTGTCAGAAATCTCCATGCTGATTTCATTGATGGCATGATTCTTTACATGGCATTCAGCTGTCTCCCTTTCACTTGTGAGAGTCTTTTTGCTTTGAATGAACACTGAAATCTATCTATCTATCTATCTATCTATCTATCTATCTATCATGAATTCACATAACATGTTGCAAATTGGAAGCTGGGACCAGTGCTTTGGGGATTAGCCTTTCTCTTTGGAAACCCAACCTCAAGTCCTTCGTCTCCCATTGACATTGCCCTTGACTTGCCTTGGTGTCACTTTCAACCACATAAGCTCATTTTTGGCACTCCTGCCCACTTGGGCTTTTCCTTGCACAGGGGTTGCTCTTCTCACCCTGTGCTTCCCCGTGGGCCATGCTCAGAAAGTCGCATGATGAAAGCTTTAGGTCTGGTGAAGGGTTTAGACCAAAGGCAGATCCAGGATTTCCTAATGAGGGGTGCAGGAGCAACCACCTGCATTGCCCCCAGCCACCTCCATCCCTAACAGTGTGAACAGACTTTATTTAAGTCCCTAAAGCAAGGGACACCACTCCCTTCTCCCTCCTGTTCAGAGGCAGCCCCCTCCCCACAATACCCCTGCCCGTTCCTGCCCTGCTGCTTTCTCCACTGCTCTGTGGTAGGGAAGTTCAGGAGTGGGCCAGGGCGAACAGTGGCTGGCTCAACTGGTGAAGGGACCATTTGGAGGGAGAGTAGTTCCCCCAACCCAGCTCCTTGGAGCTTTTAACTTGCTCTGGGATGGGTAATCATCCCTGTCAGCTGGTCCCTGTCTCCCTGAGCAGGCAGGTGATTGCTTATTAACCCCCTGCAACTTGGCTCCCACCCAGAGCTAGGCACCTGGTTAGAGGGCTGTGCCTTTGAGCAGGAAGAGGAAGAAAGGGAGGCTGATCACCTGATTTAAAGAGTTTAAAAGTTCCCAGATGCTCCCAGAGTGCAATACAATCTGAAGGGTGGAGAAGGCATGCCACTGCACCCCTTCTGGATTCACTCCATGTTTACATCAAGGGTGTCAAACTTACCTGGCTATGTGAGCTGGGTGAGTGTCAGTGGTCCAGGCATACCTGGGGGTCAGTCCAGGAGGCAGCTTGCAGCACGTACCCCAGGGTCCCTGCACTGTGTGCAGCAATGTCTCCAGCCAGTGCTGGATCATGACCCCAAGCAAGTAGCAAGCTTGAGTCCCTGCACTTCCCTGGCTGGGCCTTGCTCAGGTGACAGGTGCTTCCAGCCTCTGGAGTGCACTGGGGCCTTGAAGAAGTGTCGAGTGATTTGGAGGCTAGGAGCACTGGAGACACGTTCAATGAAAGGCATGCTGGGAACCAGCCACAAAGTTGTTATGAAAAATCTGTGAAATAATGCTGTTCCTTATTCCTCTGTTTATCACACCATCAACTGATTGAACGTGTGGCCAGAGCAGAACTTAAGATATAGCTAACCAGTTAATTGCATCGTCGCTGTAACCCGAGTCATAGGCTTCAGTGTGAGGGGCTAGAACAGGCAGCCCAGGCTGCGGTCCTTGCTTGGGGGGCCCAAGCCTGCCTGGGACTCTGAGTGGCAGCCTCACCCCAGTGGGGGAGTCCAGCTGGCCCCTGGCAGCACCTCCTGTCTGGCTCTGGGGAGCGCACCCTGCCCATCTGGCGCCAGCTTGTAGCAGCAGACTCCAGGCCAGCCAGCAGCTCCCTGGAGGGTCTGCTCTAGCAGCCTCTCCAATCCTGTGCTCTCCAGGGTCATTCTGCTCCCAAACTCTGGGTTCTGAATTTTCCCTTGGGTTTGGTAATTCAACCTCTAACACCTGAACTTTGACCTGGATTGTGATACAGATCCTGCCCCTGGCTCTTGTTACTTGGTATATGGTTTGTGATCCATGCTTGGCCCGTGTTTTGGACACTAGCAGGTGGCAATGGCCCAGGGCTTGCCAGGCACTGAGCTGTGCATGTATGTACAAGGACAGGGAGTGCAATGGGATCACTCTGCTTCCCAGACACAGGGGGATGCTCAGGTTTCCTTTTCCTGACACAGCCTGCCACCTCCAGCCCACCAGGCCTGGTCCCTCCTCTCCCTTCTCTGGTCCCCTTGGGCACCTGTCCCAAGTTCAGGGACAAATAGCAGTCCCTGGAGCTCGCATGCACTGCAGGGCATTACATGCACACAGGGACAGAGAGAGAGCAGTAACTGGTCTGTGGGCTCCTATATATGACTGTGCAGGGAAGGGCTGCTCAGGGCCTTATGAAAATCCTGCAAGAACATGAGGATTATTTCTATCATACAAACATGGCATGAGAGTAACACACAGGCATTCACATGCCAAACTGCATCACTGAAACTGGAGTGCAGTAAATTTACATGTAGTACATTTGCATTCAATTTGCATCTCCCCACTTGGCTGGGTTGGTCTCCTGGTGCTGCTGAGAGCCTATAAATGTTTTGTTTTCCACTAGTGGGGAAAGGAGAGACGGCTCCCACCAGGCTCAGGCAGGATGACCTCTGCTGCTCCACTCCTCTGCCTCCTCATGGTCTGGATTCATGGTAAGCAAGAAAACAAAGCCTGTAAAACCCTTGGCCCATGGTTAGTTAAGGGTCTGCATTGGGTCTGAGCAAGTTCACTGTTGCAAATTCAAACAGTTTCCCAGGGTGTGAATGCTTTCATTTTTATTGTATCCTGTTCACTGCAAACTCACTTGCTATTTCTAGACTCCTCTGGGCAAATCGTGCTAACTCAGTCTCCAGAGTCCCTGTCAGTCCCTGTGGGAGGAACAGTGTCTATCACCTGCAAAGCCAGTACCAGTGTTAGCACTTGCCTGAACTGGTACCAGCAGAAACCTGGACAAGTTCCCAACCTCATGATCTACTATGCCAGTAGCCTCCAGTCTGGGGTCCCTGCCTGGTTCAGTGGCAGTGGTTCAGGCACGGATTTCACCTTCACCATCAGCAGTGTTGAAGCCGACGATGCTGCAGATTACTACTGTCAGCAGTGTAACCAATGGCCTCCCACAGTGACACAGCCCAGCACAAAAACTTCCCTGCCGCCTTCAGCTCTGCTACTGTAGGTGTTGTTTGCAGCTGTTTCATGTTCAGATCTGTTTTGTCTAACAGGAAACATCTGAACTCTCACTGTTAAAGCAGAACGCACAGAGGAGGGTTCAGCTGAGCACAGAGGGCACTTACACATGCAGGGAGTCTGCTCCAACATGCTGAAAATCCACCACGTCAGAGCAGACTCTGACATGCTCAAATAAACAGAGTCCCAAAGTCCCATACAGCTTCTCCCTGCTTTATCCCTCTCTGTGTGCTGGTGCATCAGACACGCCGATTGCCCTTTTCGTTTACATCAGTCCAAACTGCACCTTTCAGAGCTCCTGTTGTCCAGAACAGAACGTGTCCTCTGCTGGACTAGCTGGTGCATGTGGTCTCACTCTCTCCATTACAGACTCCCCCATATCTCATCAGGAAGATCTCACAATCATCACCGACCCAACACAGTGATGCAAGTCCTGGATTTTTATGATCAATGATTATCTGAGTGACCACGTGCTGTATTGGTAGAGGGCAAGAAGACTCTGTGCTTCCAACTCTCAAAGGCCCTGGTAGGAAGAAATCTCCAAATGCACTTCAGATAACAGGCACAGACTTGATATTCAAGATCAGAGCCAGGCAGGAGAAGGGGCGTCTGCCCTGGTGGGCAGGGGTGTGGCGATGGATGCCTGCAGAGGGTCCACCTCTGTCCCACAATCCTCCCAGGAGTGCACAGGCTCTGTCTGGCTCTGGCCCACCCAAGTCTGTTGAACAGGGTTGAGACAAATATCCAGTAGTGCTGCGTTGGCTGAGTCAGGCACGGAGGATGGGAGGGGAGAAGGGATGTGGTAGAAAGTCTGGTGGGCAGTTATGAATTGCTAGCACAGAATGGAGAAGGGAGCGGTGTTGGAAATGAGAAGAGGGTGGGCATCTCTCTGAGGTTAGGGGGTTTCTTAAGACATGTAGCCAGGCTGCAAATTTGCTCTTGAACTCCCTAAAGGCTGTTTCCAAAGAGGATGGAGCTGGACTGTTCTCAGTGGTGGCAGATGACACAACAAGGAGCAATGGTCTCACATTGCAGCAAGGGATGCTTAGGTTGGATATAAGGAAAAACTTTCTCACAAGGATTCATAGATTCATAGATAGATTCATAGATGTTAGGGTCGGAAGGGACCTCAATAGATCATCGAGTCCGACCCCCTGCATAAGCAGGAAAGAGT